CGGGGGGATTCGGCGGACGCGCGGGTGAGCGGAGCCGTGCAGCTCAGGGCCCCTTCCCCCCTCCCCAGGTGCCATCCCCCTCCACCCGGAACCCTACCTCACCCCCATTCTCGCTATATAGCCCCTCCAAGCGGGGCGGGAGTGGAGGGTTCCCGTGGGAAATGCTGAACCCTGGGTCGCCCCACGCAGGGGTGCGCGAAGCCGGGGGTCTCTTGGGGCCCCTGGCTCCGCTCCCTGGGCCTTCTGGGTCTCAGAGCCTGGGCGGGCGGGTCTCCTGGGACCTGGGCCAAACCCTGCATGATGTCATTTTGTCTCCCGCCTAATTGCGGGGTGGGAGTGGGATGGCGGTGTCCAAGTCAGAGCGCGGGAGGCCAAACCTAGAAGACACTTGTCGTTCAAGCCTCTTTGGGTTCAGATTTGCGGGTGTGCGTTTCTTCTCAACATTCGGGGAAGTAGAGTACCCCAAGCCCTTTTCCCAGTCTGAGAAGGGTGCTGGGGGTGGGAGATCTTCTTTTGTCCCCCACCACCTGGTTTCCGGGCCCCAGCTGGGTTTAGTTTTAGAGGCCTGTCTTCCTGTTCCACATGAGAAGTTTGGGGCAGCTGGGGTTGCAGGTGAGAGTAAGACAGGCTGACGTGTATCAAGACCGCTCTTTGCCAGCAGTCTCTGGGGCCAAGGCAGGAACCGCGGTCTCCATTTTACTTAATACCCTAGAGAGTAAGTAAGTGGCAGAGTTAAGCCTGAAACCTGGTCTGTGAGCTCCAGGTACCTTTCTTAATAACTCTCTGCGCCTAGGGCTTGAGCTCTGGGCTTTTCAGCCAGTATGGGAGTCAGGGAGGACAGTGGGGTCCTGTCCTGATCCCTCCCTGGATTCATGCAGCCCAGATTACGTTAAACCCCCTCTGGATGGTGTTTGCCTTTTCAGGCCAAGGGTATATAGACTTGAAAAGCACTCCCTACTGGCTTTCCCCAGAGTTCCTCTTAGCCAAGAAGCCTCTGATCCCTGGGCAGCGGTCAGGGTGCCTGACACAGGGTCTTCCTTTCTCAGGCCATAATTACCCAGGTCAGCTCCAATTCTCAGGAGTTTTCTGGTCAGGCATTTGTCAGACCCTATCCTGATTTTTGGTTCAGGAAGTGTTACTCCAGGGAACCACAGAAGTCCTAGACAACCCCCAGGCCTTCTGCCACTTCTCCCCTGGGGCTCAGTGGAGGAACCCCGTCTTGTTCTATGGCACCCCGCAGCCCTCAGCTCCATTCTTGGCCACTTGCTGTAACTTCTCTGCACCAGGGCCCCACTTCCCGCTCAGCTTCTGACTCACCCCACCTGGAGCAAAGCCCAGCCCATCCAAGAGCATGGAAAGGGTGTGTTGGACCTACACGTGGTTGCCACCACTAACTAGGCCTGTGCTTTTTCAGTAGGGACTACGAGGTGAGGACTTGAAGGTGTAGTTGTGGAGCCTGGCTCTGTGGACTTGGCAAGTGGCATAACCCCTGTGAGCCTCAATTTCCACATCTATTAAGTGGGGATAATGAGAATGCATGTGAAGGGGATGGTCAGCATTATATGGGTGATTGAAGTTTATCATCTCACAGAATTCTCCCAGCTGAGTTGCGGTCTCCATTAAATTGAGTATTGGAGCATCAGGAAATGTTTACACAGACACCTTTAAATCTTTGAAGGAACATTTGCCGAGCTTCTTTTAGAAGCTGTGTGCCGAAGAACCAATCATAACTGTCAGAAAGAGGTCTGGGGGTAGTTGATTTTAAAGCCAGCTTTATTCTGTTATTAGTATCGTGTAGAATTTTTGTCTCCTACTTTGCGACGGTGGAGGACCCTATGAATTAGGTCAGGAATGACGGGGCTAGGCTGAATTCCAGTTCCTTCTGTGATTAATGCATTGCTGGGTTTATATACTGTTCGACCCTTTCTTTCTAAAAATATTTAAATTTTTGTTATCTACTAATAGGCAGTAGCTTTGTATGATTATTTACTCCTGTATCCAGTCATTCCCTGAGCAAACATTTCAGACCTTTTGATACCAACCCCCAAAGGCCCTGCGGATGTGGAGGTGGAACTCACCTCTGTTGTTGACTAGATGACATCCAGGAGGAGATAGGCAGCCTCAGGGCCTACAGTCTGAGATAGGATTTCCAAGGTCCCCTGGGCACATAGGAAAATGCTGACTAGGAAGATACTGATTTCTGGAGAAAGGGTAAAGAAGATGGACACAAAGGAAATTCTCTTCTTGGCTTGTACTTGCTTTGCTTGTCTGGAGATATTTAGGCTCTTCCCACTTATAAATGCCTGACTTAGGAATGTACCTTGACAGGTGACCTGATTGAGGCAGGTCCTACCCACCTCATGGAGTTGGAAGCTCATTAATCTTCTGTGAGCACCTGATATCACTGGAGATAGAAAGTGTGGTATCTATTTTCAGAGTCATTAAAGCTGATAAATATGAAGAGTTTGGAGCAACATGGAAAATTGCCATAGAAAATAAAAACATCCAGAATTTAAAGCTGCTCGTACTCTTGATTTTTCTCTCCATAAACTATGCCTATATGTAGGCAAGGATTGAGAGAGGGGATGTGAAAAAGTGGACGTAGTTGCTAAGATAAGGTATTTAAAATGTTTATTCCAAATAACCAATATTTCTTAAAGTTCTGGAACTTGGTTACATACATCATCATCTTACATCCTTAGACTATCAATGCCAGTTTAAAAATTGTTATTGAAAAAAACATTAAACGATGTCTGGTTTTGAATATCATAACATTCTTAGTGAAATCTCAACTTTTTCTTGTAGCTTTTGAAATCCTTAGGGTATTCCTGAAAATGAAGAAGAAAATAAAATAGCCCATAACCTCATTTCATTAAAAAATTTAAAAAGGAGGGTGGAGGTACCTACATTTTTGAAAGCAGAAAGCGTAAAAGCCTGCATCCCTCAAACCTTTCCCTAGAGGTCACTGGCTCCTACCCATACACTCTCCATCCACCACGTAGCAGCACGTGGAGACACATGTCCTTGACCTTTAGCTTGCTCTCCCTAGTGAGGAACTGGATGAGCTTCACTACCAGGACACGGATTCGGACGTGCCAGAGCAGAGGGACAGCAAGTGCAAGGTCAAATGGACCCACGAGGAGGTGAGTGATGCTGGGGGGCAAGTCCAGTGAAGGTGATGGCAGCTGGGAGTGTGTGTGCCTGATACCCCAATGGTGTGATCAAGAGGAGGAGCCAGTGAAGGAAGTGGATGGGTCCTCTGGTTCTTCTTGATGACTCTTAGAGCATTCTGGGGGACTCAATATCGAGGACTCTTGGGGGGATGTGTCTCAAACCTCGGGGCCAGCAATTGCTGTGTCTCCTGGAAGCTGGCATGTTATACATTGTGGATATTAACTGGACTTTTTTAACTACTAGGAGGGTTAGCCAAATCTGCAACCTCCCTCTATTATTTTAAGAAATTAATTGTATCTTGTGACATCCAGCTCTGAGTTGATTTTATTCTTTAGTCTGTTTTATGGAGGTATAATTTATATGCAATCGAATACACCTTTTAAAAGTGAACAGTTTCGATAAAAACGTGTACTCACATAAGCACCACTCTGATTATCCCCAGATGTTCCCTTTGTGGTCCATCTTCCCCATCTGTAGGCAATCGCTGATCTGATATCTCTTGGCTTGATTCATTTTGCCTGTTCTTGGTTGTCCTACCAATGAAATCATACTGCTGTGCTCTTTCCTATCTGGCTTCTTTTGCTCAGCAAAATGTTGCGTGATTGACTAATTCGTTCATTTTTATTGCTGAATAATATTCTTCGGCTATACCACAGTGTGTTTCACTTGTTCATGGGCATTTGAGTGGTTTCAAGTTTTTGGCTATTGTGGATAGATCTTCTGTGAAGATTCTTGCATAAGTCTTTTTGAGGATTATGTTTTCATTTCTCTGAGGAGGATACTTAGGTACAGTCATGGGATAGGTAGGTATATGTTTAGTTTTATGGAAACTGCCAGACCTTTTTCTAAATTGATTGTACCATCTTAGACTCCTACTGGCTTTATCTTTTTATTCTACCTTTATTTTCCTGGGTGTGTTATAGTTTTAAGTCTTTTTTTTTTTTTCTTCCTGTGGGAGTCGTAACCCCTCTTACATCATAAAAGATGTTTCTACAGAGAAGGGCTGAACCGGCCTTTTCTGTTCATCCCCCTGTCGACCAGGGACTATATTCAGCTCTTGTGCGCTTAGAAGAACAAACAAGATGGGGTCCCTTCCCTAGAGCAGCTCACCATCTGGGGCGGAGAGATAAGGCTGCACACAGGCCCACGGGTGTGCCGTGGTCATCCACAGCCCCGGCAGGATCAGTGTCCCTGTGTGCTCACTGTCTTCTCTCTGCTGCTTGCATTAAGGCTCCTGGCGTATAGGAAGCATGGGTAATTGTTGAAATACCTTTATAAGGAGAGGTTACTTACTGTTATCTGAAGAGATTAGGGCAAGTTTTATGGATAGGATTTGGAAATTCAGCAGTCAGGGAGATAATTGTCAAAATACCTTTAGAAGGTGAGGCTGCTGTTCTCAAGAGATTAGAGAAAGTTTCATGGATAAGGATTTGGAAATTCAGCAGTCAGCAAAGTATAAAACAGTGAGCAGGTCAGAATAGGAAATGGGTTGTGGGTGGAGAAAAGCCAGTAGAAGAGCCCCAGGTTGGCTGGTGCAAAGGGTCCTTGAAGGGGAAGAGTGGTCGATATGGAAGGAATATCGATGGGGGCCAAATAAAGCCTCGACGGTTGGGCTCAGAAGTATAGGATTACTCAGCCGGCAGGATGGAGCTGTTGAAGATTTTTAAAGCACAAGAATGACGTGAACATCTGGGCTTCAGTAGAGCTAACCTGCTGTGTGTAGGATTTGGGGGCAGCCTGGGGCAGAGACCAGTGCTAAGGGAGTGGGGCAGGGTGCTGCACGGGGCAGACTGTGGCCAGACTAGGGCAGTACCCGGCGGAGTTAACAGGTGGGGGAGACCCATGAGGTCAGGGAGGAGTTGGAGAAGAAATGGCTGGTTGTCAGGGAGGATGGTGGTGCCGGAGATGGATGTGGAGGAATGAAGGCAGGTGTGGGCCTTGGCCAGGCCAGGTGGCGGAGGAGGGCAGAGTATCTAGGGCTGCCTGGGTGGGTGTGAGCTGGCTCAGCTACAGGATCTGTGGGGACTTTGCTCAGCCACTGCTGGACTGTGGCCAAACTGCAGCTGAGGGTCTAGATTTTTGTGTTGTCCTTTTTTTTTCTGTCCAGGAGAGAGTGTGTTTGTGGTGAAAAACATGTAACATGAAATTTACCATCATAACCATTTTTAAGTGTACAGTTCAGTGATGTTAAGTGTATTCCCATTGTGCAACAGATCTTTAGAACTTTATCTTGCAAGATTGAGTCTCTGTACCTGTTAAACACTTAATTCCTCATCTCCCTTCCCGCAGCCCTTGAAACCACCTTTCTACTTCTTTGTTTCTATGATTTTGACTATTTTACTTCATGTGAGTGGAATCATAAAGTGCTTGTCTTTTTTGTGACTGGCTTATTTTGTTTAGCATAATGTCCTCGAGGGATCACGAGTCAGAACTTCCTTCTGTTTTAAGCCTGATTAATAACCCATTGTATGGATATACCACATTTTAAATAAACAATTCGATGGAGGAATACTTTACATACAATCAGCTGTAACCATTTAGAGTACAATTCGATGAGTTTCTGCAGACATGTTACCTTGCAGCTACCAGCACCATCAATCACATGTTAGAACATTTCCGTCACCACCGAGCAGTCCTCTCTCCCCTTTGCTGTCCATCCCTCCCCCGCTGCCCCGACCTCAGACAACCTGACTCACTGACTACCTTTTTGTCCCTAGGGTTTAGTTTACATTTCCTAGGATTTTATATGCATGGGGTATACAGTACGTGCTCTTTTATGTCTGGCTTCTTTCACTGGTCGTGATGGTATTGAGAGCCCGTATTGTTGCGTGAATCAGTAGTTCATTTTCAGGAGAACATTTTAACAGGCACCGTTTTGCCTTCCAACTACTCTTGATTCTGCCCGTGTCTCCCCATCTCCATCGCTATGTCACTATCATCTCTGACCTGGGTGCCTGTAATGACCTCCTTTCGTCCATCCTGCTCTCTTACAGCCCCTTTTCCTGCAGCTGTGAAAGTGAACTTCACAAGAAGCACTTTGGACCGTGAGCACCTGGTGCTCAAATGCATCAGTGGCTTTGCATGACACAGAGGCCCAAACCAACCTGTGTGTGGTCTGGCCCTTGCTGTCCCCTCCAAAATGCTCTTTCGTCCCTCTCTCCCTTGCTGCTTCCTGCATTCCAGTTACACTAGACTTCCTTGGGACTCTCTTTGTTTTTCTCCCTGAATAGGCAGTCACCTATTTAGCACATACCTCTCCATACTCCCAGCATGGTGTCTTCACTTTAGTTTGTGGGAGCCTTGAATTAGCATCTGCCTCCCTCTGGACCATAAGCCCCACGAGGTTGGGCAGCTCTGTCACTTCTGTGTCTGTAGTGCCTGGTGCATAGTAGGTGCTCATAGTAGGTGCCTCCCTCTGGACCATAAGCCCCACGAGGTTGGGCAGCTCTGTCACTTCTGTGTCTGTAGTGCCTGCTGCATAGTAGGTGCTCAAGTCATGACTGAATGGATGAATGAGGCTGTTTCATGTGGAGAGGGCTCCGTCTCAAACAGCTGCTTTCTGCATCATGTGAGCCTGAGCCCTCTGTCTTTCTGGCATTGTCAGGATGAGCAGCTGAGGACCCTGGTGAGGCAGTTCGGACAGCAAAACTGGAAGTTTCTGGCCAGCCACTTTCCTGTGAGTGCAGTTCCTCTGTGGCCCCCTCCCCCAAGGACAGGGTTCTAGGTGACCAGACAGGCCTGGGACAGGCTTGCTGCCAAGGAGAAGAAAAGAGAGTTCCTTATCAAGGTGCACCCCATCCCCTCTAGCCATTCCCCTGGGCCCTTTCTTCCCAACCTGGAATTCGCATATTTGCATTTCTTCCTGCAAGCCTGGAGCGAACTAGTGCTGTTTCTCAACAGTGAGACTAAAATTGAGGGGAAAAGCTACTTCCCGCAGGCAGAATTGGCTGGTGCCACCACATCCAGCACTTAGAGTCTCCTGGTGGTACAGGTCTCCGTCGGATCCCCCCTCCCAGGACTGCAGGTGTCTGGTTAGGGAGTGTGTGTGGCAGGAGCTGCTACCTGGCTTATTTCTTGTGTCACTCTGGGAGCTCAGAGACCAAGTCACCAGACCCCTTCTGCCCCATTCCTCATCTCCCTCTTCCACGTGATCTAGAACTTTCGGGGAAATAACACTCCCTGAAGCAAGCAGGAGTCCCTGACATATCCCACCGGCTTTTACAGGGATTTTAAAGGCTACAGTGGTGGCGGTGGCTTCCCATAGGGTTCTGAGTTTGCCCAGTTCCATCCATGTCCTCTTGTAGGAAAGAGAAACCACATGTTCTGGCATGTGGGCTTGTAGTGCGTAGCGGGTGCAGGAATAGGACAAAACCCATCTGAGGTGGGCCTGACTCCAGACTGCAGTCCCCTGAGTCCAATGATCGACCGGGATTCAAGGCTGCCTTCCTAGTTCTCACAGATTCCTGTTCTCCCAGAACCGCACTGACCAGCAATGCCAGTACCGGTGGCTGAGGGTCTTGAATCCGGATCTCGTCAAGGGGCCATGGACCAAGGAGGAAGACCAGAAGGTAACTAGTGGGACAGAGCTGCGTACACAGTGAGCCTTCACCCACTTTGCAAATCAAGGGACTTCGAGCCTGCCCTTGGGTTTGGCAGGGGGTCAAGCTGAAGGTTGAGTGTGTCATCTGCTGGTCATTTGGCCGCCCTGGTGGTGGGGCTCAGGTGGAGAGAAGGTGATAGGGCCGAGGCAGGGGCGGGTCGGTTGGCTTCATAGAGGCTTACCTCCAAGGTCATTGAGCTGGTTAAGAAGTATGGCACGAAGCAGTGGACGCTGATTGCCAAGCACCTGAAGGGCCGGCTGGGGAAGCAATGCCGTGAGCGCTGGCACAACCACCTCAATCCCGAGGTGAAGAAGTCCTGCTGGACCGAGGAGGAGGATCGTATCATCTGGGAGGCCCACAAGGTGCTGGGCAACCGCTGGGCCGAGATTGCCAAGATGCTGCCGGGGAGGTGAGCTGCCTTCCGGAGGCCTGGGGACGGGGCCAGGCAGGGTGAGAGCCTTGCCGGTGAATACTCCAGGAGTCGGTTTCTCTTCCCAGGGATGCATGGGTCCTTCGGACTCTTGCCCGGGCCTTGCTGTAGGGACAGGGGGCTTGGGGGCCTCCCATTCGGTGTGCATATTTTCATTTAGCCCCTCTCTCAGCTCTGTGCGCCATTCCTGCCCTCTGCCGTGGCCAGGATTGCCTGGTCTTTTTTCCCAGAGAATAAACCTCCCTCCTGCCTGTGAGGTCAAGGCCAGGATCTGGATGTTGGAACCACTTCTCTGTCCTCAGCCTGCTCCTCACTGGGCCTGGTCCTTCCAAGCCTCAAGCCTCTTGGGGTCCTGCAGGGAGCTCTGGAAAGACTTGGCTCCTTCTTGCCAGAGTCTTCCTTCGGGTCAGCTCCCAGTCTCCTAAGTTGCTTATTGCTCTCCTAACTGTCCTCTGTCTTCCGGAAACTTATAAAAATCTCTTATTTGCAACTGCCTTTTATGCCGTATTCTTTGTCCTTACGCATTTTTTTACCTTATTTTGTTTTATTTTTAATCCTTTCTTCATCACAGCAGTATGGTCCTGGGAGGGGGAGGAGATAGAATGCCAGATGGTTATTTTTCCGCTGAAGTCTGGAGTGGTCTGTTTTCAGAACTCAAACCCAAGCATGGTATTCTTTTAGCGTTTCTCCTCACACTTGGATTGAAGACTCAGCCTCTTTCCCCACGTCACCAGCCCTGGCTCATGCCACCAGCCCTGCCTTGACCCACGGCGTCCTTGCTCACGCGTCCCTCTGCTCAGTCCCTCATACACAGTGATCCCTCCACTGAGAACGCCCGGTGTGCCTTGGTCAGCCCAAAAATGTCCTCTGCCTTGTGCCTGTTGCATAGCCGACATGTTCTCATTTTTCAGTTCTTCATGGGGGCGTCATTTCCTCGGAGAAGCTTTCCCTGTCCTCCCAGACTATGGTCGGTCCCCGGCAGCCTCACTGCAGTGCCCCTGCCTGTCTTCTGAGCAGCTCGAACCCCAACTATAATTAGACATGATGCCCATCTCCCCAGCTAGAGTAGACTCTTAATGCAGCCGCCTGTCTTACTTGCTGGTGTATCCCCAGTGCCTAGAGCAATGCCTGCCACATTATGGGCACTTCATAAACGTATGTGAGCAAAAGAATGAAGTGCATTATAGCTTGGAGTACCCCAGATCTGAGCATGAGGGCTGGGAGGGCTGGGAGGTGTTTTGGGTCAGGTTCCCTGGAAGCAGAACCCGAGTCATAGAGGTTAAGGCACATGGGGTTAGGTTGAGGAAAGGCTGTCACCTGTGAAAGGAGGAGTGGAGAAGAGTAGGGAAGGTCCCAGCAAGATGGGGTCTCTGTAAAGTCTGGCCTTGACCTGACATGCTCTGTGTGTGGGTGTCCTGAGGGTCTGCGGTGGGAGAGGTTAGAGAGACAGACCTTTTTAGACTGGTTGCTCAATTGAGCTGTTATTCTCTGTGCACAATTCAAGAGAAAAGTACTCTGCTCGGAGCCTCAAAGAAGAGCCTACTGTGTGTCAGCACGTCTGTGCTATTGTGTACTGTTATTTAGCAGAGTGGAAATGGTCTATCACTCATTAAGGGCTAGAAACGTGGCTTCATCTTAGAGCCAAGAGACCTTAGAGTTCTTCAGGTGGGACCCTCATGTACAGGGGTGGAGCTCAGCTCGGGGGAGGTTAGTGATGTGCCCATTGGCACATGGGCCACGGGGCTAGGGCTCAAAAGTCCCCCGTTTGCCCCTGCAGGACGGACAATGCTGTGAAGAATCACTGGAACTCTACCATCAAAAGGAAGGTGGACACAGGAGGCTTCCGGAGCGAGTCCAAAGACTGTAAGCCCCCCGTGTACTTGCTGCTGGAGCTTGAGGACAAGGACAGCCATCAGAGTGCTTACCCCGCGGAAGGCCAGGTGAGATGGCTGTCCAAGGCACTTAGCCAGTGGTTGTGGCTCTGGGTTGGTGTGTGATTGGATGTTTATCCAACACGGTCTAATTTAACATCCCTTTTTACCTTACCCACAGCTGTTTATTAGTTCTTGCCGCAGAGTCTCAGTGTGGCTGCGTGTCCGTCACAAGGGCCTTTCCTTGTCACACACGTCTGCACGTACCTGGGACTTGTCTGCCCACAGGTGAAGCATGACAGAGCAAGCCGAAATATAAAACTGAGGATTGCCCTCAGCCTTTTTCTGTCCCTATCCACAGCTTTCTTCCTACCTGTTTTTTTTTTTCATAATAAAAGCATGTTTGCAATTTAAAAAATCAGATTTATTGAGGTGTAATTCTCATACAGTAAATTCATTCCCTTTAGTGTACAGTTCTGAGTCATCACAAAAACAGTGGTGGAACCTCCACCGCACTCAAGATAGAGAACATTTCCATCATAGAAGTGAAAATCATAAATGAAATCATTGAATAGTATTACATTGCATTCGTAAAAATGGAACCAACATGCAGATGTTAACATCTCCTGTCCCACACCCCAGAGCAAACTTTTTTTTGATATTTAAAAAATGTGATTCTTAAAAAATGAAGATTCGAAGCAAACGTGTCAAAGCGTGAAGATTTGACAGTGCTGGGCGTGGTAGGTAGCACTTGAGCATGGTTTTCTAATCTTTTCTGTAATTGTGAACTATTGAGTAATTTTTTTCCCGTTACCCTCCTTCCCAATTCTTACTGGGGACTAGATAGAACTTATTCACTGTTGTAATTGTACAGCACCCTGCTGGAGCGTTACATGATGTTTTTGCCTCTGTTTCTTCATTTTTCAACTCAGACAGTATCTCTTGATTCCCTCATGAGGTAACAAATTTACATAGTAGAGAAAGGGGTAAATGAAAAGCAAAGCGACTTCTTCCTCTAGTCTGGACTCCCTATGTGTCTGCTGAACAAAGGAGTCTACTTCTCACGGTTTTTTTCCCTGCAGGTCTAAGTAGTAAGTTTTCAGTCTTTTTACTTCTGATTGAAGAAGAAGCATGCATGCCGTAAAGAGAAACCGTGAGCATCAGCGAATATGGGGGCGTGGTCTTTCAGGCTAGGGCAGAGTGGACAGACCTTCCTTAGTCTCCGAAAATCCTACATGGCTGAAAATCAGTTTATATGGACTTGGCTTTTGTCCCCTAGCACTTTGTGTCTTGATTTCGGCCTGGGCTGGCCTGGCCTGGCCTCGGCCCCAGACCTTGACTCTGAGCACTGGAAGTCAGGTCAATGTGTTGGTATCAGCCTTATCATCATTTTAATGGTTCTGTTGTGTTGCTTATTTATTTAAATGAAATCCGTATCCAGATTTTCTGTTGTTGTTGTTATTAGAAAGAAAACTTTAATGATCAGCCTTGTAGCTAAATTACTGCTCATTTACTCAATTATTTCTTAAGAAATTCTTAGAGCTGCATAGTCACACTCTTAACACCTTGTGCTAGATTACTTACTAGAAAGGTTTTGCCTGTTAATGTGTGGTGGGTCCACTTCGTGTTTTCCCCACTCACCGGGCAATGCTTGCAATTAATTATAAGCTTTTCCCGTGCTATAAAAGTAATACATGATCATTGTAGAGTTAGAAACTTCACAGAACTGAACAGTGCAGTAGGCAGAGCCCGCTAAGTTTGAAATGAGGTAACGCGATATCTTGCTGTCTTACAAGTTTCTTTTGCTACTTCCATCTTTCCATGTCATGTGTATGTAGAGCTCTACACCATTCTTGAATCTGTCATATCTTCTGTTGAACATCTGTCACCATATCCCTCAATGTACTGCAGTGAACATCGTTCAGATTCTTTGTGCATTTGCTGACTTATGTAGGTTAATTTTACAGATACGGAATGGCTGGGTCAAGTAGTGTGGACCTTTGAAATTGTCATAAGCGTTACCAAATTGCCACACAAAGGGTCGTACCATTTCATCCTCCCGTCAACAATGCATGGGACTGCCTGCTTTGCCACATCATTGTCACTGCTGGTTATGACTATAAAAATGCCTGCCAATTTTAAGAGTTAAAATGGAATATCGTTTGGTTCTGATTTCTTTTACAACTAGTGAGGTTGACTTTTTCTTTAATTTATTGATTTGCTTTTGCCTTTTCGTCTTTTTTCTCATTGGTTTGTAAACTTTATATTTACGTGTTAAAGGTATTACCCCTTGATTATATAGTAATGTTCCCCCAGTTTATTGGTAGCTCCCTTATCCCTTCATTTCATAAAGGTATAATTTACAAACAGTAAAATTTAGTAGACAATTCTGTGAGTTTTGACAAATGTAGCTATCACCACAGTCAATTTCCATCACCCCCCTGCCCCAAATTCCCACATGTAGTCACCTACTCCTGCCCCTGCCCAAGCCCCTGGCGACCACTTATTTGTCTCCTCTGTGCAGTTTTGTTAAGAATGTCATGTAAGTGGAGTCATATTTCATATATATAGTGTGGTTTCTTTTGCTTGGCATTATTATGCCTTTAAGATTCTTCCCTGTGTTAAATGTATCAGTGATTTGTTCCTTTTTATTGTTAACTGATATTCTGTCCCTTGCATGTACCATGGTTTGTCTGTCTGCTTACTGGCCGAGTACATTGTTTCCAACTAGTGTTTACAAATGAAGCTTCCATAAATATGTGTACAGGTTTTTGCATGAACACACCTTTTAATTCCCCTTGGGGAAATATCCAAGAGTGGGATTGCTGGGTTGTATGGTGAATACATACCTAACTTTATAAGAAATTGCCAAACTGTTCTCCAAAGTGGCTGTTTTCTAAAGTGGGATTCCCTTGTAGGTACCTTTTAAATGCCACAGTGTTGATGGCATTCCGCCTCTCCCTCCAAATATATAGCAGTTACAAGCTTTTAATCAAATCTGTTCTTATCTCCTTTTCTTCCTTTGCTTGAATCACAAACCATTTCTATCCTGGCCACTTGACTACAATAGTAATAATAGCCACCGTTTAGGTTGGATGCTTTGCACATCCTTGCTGATCTGCATAACAGTGCTCGGTAGGTTGCCTTAGTGTTCTCATTGTCTTCATTTTATAGGCAAGGAAACTGAAACTCTGAGGTATCACAGCTTGTCTAAGGTCACCAAGTAAGTGGCAAAGCTGTGCTTGAATCCAGAGCCTGGGTTTTCTCTCTGACTCCATTCCGCCACCGTTCACACAAGACCTTGCTCCTCACTCTGTTAGTCACATGTGCTGTTTTAATGGCTCTGCAGGGATCTGTCAGGTTAACGTGTCAAGCTTGTTCCAAGATTCTGCCCAGAGAACTTTTGCCACAATGGATTTTCCTATACTTTTTTTCCTGTCAAAAAATTAGTATACATTTGCTTATTAAACTTTTATTTTGAAATAATATTAAGCATACAGAAAAGTTGCAAGAATAGTATAAAGAACTCTCTTGCCAGATTTGCTCCATCTTTCTATATACTCGTGTTACTTTTCTTTTAACCTGGGCCATTTGAGGGTTGGTTACATACATTGTGCCTCTTTATTTGTTAATATTTCAGTGTGTTTCCCAAGAACAGGGGCATGCACTTACATAACCACAGTACAGTTATATCCAATTCAGGGAATTAAACGCTCGATTCAGGACTTTTATCTATAGTCCATATTCCATTTTCTCCTGCCCCCGATCCAGTCCAGGATTAGATACTGCATTTAGTTGTCATATCTCTTTCTTCCTCTTTTATCTTGAATAGTTCATCAGCCTTTCATGTTACTGATATTTTCGAAGCATGTTATAAGGCCGGTTATTTTAGAGACTCTATTTGGATTCTTTCGCGGATCTCTTATTCCATTCAGGTTATACGTTTTTAGCTGGAATACAGAAGAGTATCTTGTTTCAAAAGCTCCAGATGGTGTTCTTTTGTGTCCAACAGGGAAGTCTTGTGAGTAACTGGCCCCCGGCACTCCCTGCCATGAAGGAAGAGGAGAGCAGTGAGGAGGAGTCTGTGGCAGCCGCCCCCGCTAGGGAGCAGGACGCTGTCCCTGCAGAGCTGGACGACGTGCGCACACCAGAGCCCCTGGATGACATCCCCAAGCACGATGACGAGGAGGGCTCCTCGCCAGAAACCAGCCTGCCCTACAAGTGGGTGGTAGAGGCTGCAAACCTCCTGGTCCCGGCCGTGGGGTCCAGCTTCTCGGAAGCCCTGGACTTGATTGAGTCGGTAATGTTGGTCCCAGCACTTGACATTGTGCCCAGAGCACCTTATAGCACAGAGTTCTCTCGTGGGCGGGCATTCTTCTGTTAACTCATTATCCCAGTAACATTTGCGGAGCTGGGGCCTGGAGATACTGGAATAGTTGGCATATAGTCCCTGCCCTTGGGGAGCTTCTGATTCACACTGTGCAGCACGGAGTAGGGATGGGAGAGCTCCCCAGAGGAGGTGGCACCAGCACTGCATCCTTGAGGATGACGGGGGAGGGTGTTTAAGGCCCATACATAGCACGATTAAGCATGGCTTTTGGGTACCACAGATGCTTGACTGTCCCTGGAGAGACCTGGGAGGTGCTAGGGCTAGAGGGGAGAGTGGGTTCTGATTACTTAGGTGTTTCAGCCCCTGAGGCAGAGCTGGCTTGGAGCATGCCCCTCGAGAGAGAGTTCTTGGTGTGACATCCTCAGCTCCCAGCTGCATCAGCCAGGTCTGTGGTGTGGAACAGGTTTCAGGAGGTGATGGGCAAGCGGCCTGGCCACCAGGGGCAGTGGAGTTCAGGGGCGGGCCTTCCAGGTTTGCCTTCCCATTTGGCCTTCTTCGCTCCTTGCTAAAAATAATGACATTCATTGAACATCTACTAAACGCCAGGCTCTAAGCTTAATGTACAGCCCACCCAGTATTCTATGAAGTGTGTCCTTTCTCTGTGTTTTGTAGATGAGACTGAGGCTCAGAGAGGTTAAATTGTGTACCGAAGGTCACACAGCGAGTAAGCTTCATGGTCTTGACCTTTGTACTGTGCTCTCACTGTCTTCCTCAATGGGGGTTTGGATGGTATGATTGCCAGCGAGCCATCTCTCAGTCCCTCTGACTCTGGGGTCTCGCCTCTGAGCCCCAGCACCTGGGATTAGACCCAGCTCAGGGTTCATCTGCCCCTTCCACTCCAAGGAATTTCAAGGTAGCTGGAGAAGCAGGTCTAATGGGTTCATCAGTCTGAGCAGCAAATAGCTCTGAGGCTGCCGCGCTCCGTTGCTCCTTTGGGCTCTCCAGGGGTGTGTTGAGATGAGAGTTGGGCTGACTCCGCCCATCACTCCTGGCAGTTTACGGTGTTGCCTTCATCCTCAGACTGTTGTGTATCTTCCTCTACTTGATGGGCACAGAGAAGGGAGAAGAGAGCTCACTTTTATTGAGCACCCCGTGTGTGAGGCCCAATGCTCAGTTAGCAATTACAGTATCTAACATTCGAGTACCTACTGTGTGCTGGGCTTTTACTTGCTACCTACGTATGTGCTCTCTGTGTTAACAGCTCTGTGAAGTGGGTGGTGGGCTCATCCCTGGGGAGGGGGAGGATCCCAAGCTCAAGTTCAGAGGCTTGTCCAACATCACAGAGCTAGTGTGGTGTAATTTGCTAGGGAAGACCTAGGCATGCCTGTCACGATTGCTCCTAGAAAGTGACCCTGGGCGGGTTGCACCCCCTCTGGCCTGCTCCTCTGTGTGGAACGGGGGGAAGAACCCCTTCAGCAGGGTTGTTACGGGGTTGGAAACAGCTGCTGCGAAGTGGCCTGAGAGGCACCCACGGTGGACAAGCTCGTGGGGCACAGGCGCTGCCTCCTTTCCAGGAATGTGGCCACGTAAATCCAGAGCCTTAAACCTGCTCGCAGCCTCGGACTATGCCTTCCACTTCTAGTGATCTGTGTTAAGTGACTGATATAGTCATGTGATGAAATATTTTAGTCTTAAAAATTATAAAGGTTGAAAAATTGTCACCTTAATAATGACTAATGTTTATTAATAGCTAATGTTTAACTCATAAATATTAGAATTAGGCAGCTGGTAGAAAAGCAGAGGAAATGCAGGGATACCTAACCCCTCTCCTCTCTGGCCAGGACCCTGACGCCTGGTGTGACCTGAGTAAATTTGACCTCCCTGAGGAGCCGTCCGCAGAGGACAGTATCAGCAGCAGCCCGGTGCAGCCACAGCCTTCAGAGCAGCAGCAGGCGCTGCCGCCCCAGCCGCCGGCTGCCCCGGGTCCCAGCGTGACCGAGTACCGCCTGGACGGCCCCACCATCTCGGACCTGAGCCGGGGCAGCCGGGGCGAGCTCATCCCCATCTCCCCCAGCACTGAAGTGAGGGGCTTGGGCGTCGGCACGCCGCCCTCCGTGCTCAAGCGGCAGAAGAAGAGGCGTGTCACCCTGTCCCCCGTCACAGAGAACAGCTCCAGCCTGTCCTTCCTGGACTCCTGCAACAGCCTCACGCCCAAGAGCACACCCGTCAAGACCCTGCCCTTCTCGCCATCCCAGGTGTGTGCACCTGGCTCTGGCTCCTCTCTGGGTTACGTTCACCCAGCACAGGGCCTGGCATGCAGGCACATGCTGTTCGACAAGTACTCATGGTTTGTCTGCTGTGGGAGAGGGCTGGGGACGAAGCGGTGAGCAGAAACAGGCCTAGCCCTGCCCTCATGAAGCTTACATCCTGGCAGGAAGACCAATTAATAAAAACGACCCAAATACGTATGATAAATGGAATGAAGGAGAAGGCTTATGGTGTTGCCAGTGCATCGAGTCTGGGGGGGAGGGCGTCATCCGGGAAGGCTTCCCTGAGGAGGAGGCATTGCTTGAGCTGGGGATAGTGGGTGATAACTGGGCAAAGAAGGGAACGTCCAGACTCAGTATTTGTTAAAAGAGTCCATTTATTAAGCACCTATTTCATACCAGATTTGCCAGCACTGGGGAGCAAAGGCGAAGAAGACAGTCCTGCCCTTGAACAGGACAGCTAAGGTTGGGGACAGGCTGGCAATGATCAGGATGCAGTGCTCTGCTTCGGAGGGGCCCTGTCTTTCCTAGAGGTCAGGGAGAGGCCCTCAGGCTTTCTGGTGGCGGGCGGGGGGTGGGGGTGTCTGGAGTGGAGGGTGGATTTGTCGATCAAGTGACCGGAACAAAGGCATAGAGATGGAGGGGCAGGGTGAGTGGTGTGAAGTCCAGAGCTAGAAGTGTTGGTGGGGGAGGATGGGGCCAGGGGCCTTGGAGGGCCTAGGTTATAACTGAGGGGTATGCACTGCCCTGGGGGCTGTGTGGGGGGTTGGTAGGGCACTGGGAGCGGAGAGACTGGAGGGCTGGGTCAGAGGCAGGTCTTTAGAACAGAGTGGGTGATGGCTTTGGGTTTTGCCGGGTAGGCTTTCTCCCACGAAGATGTGAGAGAGAGTGAGGCCCAGACATGGTGCATTTCGGAGGCTACACCATCATCTGCCGTAGAGGGATTGAGGCCAGGCCCATGATGTGGGGGTGCTAGTGGTTTTTCCAAGAGAACTTTGCTAGGGCTGCCATAAGAAAGTACCACACACTGTGGCTTAACAGAAATTTATTTTTCTCACAGTTCTGGAGGTCTGACAGGTCTAGAAGTCCAAGATAAGATATGGGCAGGGTTGGTTCCTTCTGAGGCCTGTTTCTGGTTTACAGATGGCTGTCTGTCCCCTGTGTCTTCACAGGGTCATCCTTTTGTGTGTCTGTACCCTAATCTCTACTCATAATCTCTCACCTTTTATAATTGTCTAAGGAAACCAGTCTTATTGGTTAGGCCCACCCATATGACCTCTTTTTTTTTTTTTTTAACCTTAATCTCTTTAAAGACCTTATCTCAAAATACAGTCACGGTCATGTGATTTCAATTTAGGAATTTTTAGAGGGCACAGTTTTTCCCATACCTAATAGGCCCCAAGTGAGGACTGCTGGCTGGAAAAGGAAGGCTGAACATCAGTCTAGGATGATGGGGTGTGGCCGCCCTGCTCTGGGGACCCCACAGAGGGTAATGGACCTGAGGGCTGCCGATGGCCCTGAGCTACCAAGGGCACCTGCAGGACTGAGCCGGGGAGAAGGTAGTGCTTCAGATCTGGGTTTGAGTCCCGCCTCTAGCATTCGGCACAAGAATCTAAATCCCTCTAAGCCTTGGCTTGCTTATCTAAAAGAGATTGTAATAGTTCCTACCTCTCAGAGGTCTGCATGGGGGAGCGGGCAGTGTAAAGGGGAGGAGATGCTTTCTAAATGTCAACATCAGCACTGCCACCATCACCGTCCCCTGTCCATCACAGGTCATTTAAGAACCACTCTACACGCTTACCATTCTCACTCCAATTGTACCAGCAGCAGCACATGGGTTTAGGGGTGGGAGGTGGGAGGGAAGGTGACCTCCCACCAGCCTGGCAAAAGCAGAGGTTGGGGTGATGACAGGCCTAGGGGTCTACACGAACCCACTTGGTGGGTTCCCGCTGACCTGTCCCAGCCTTTGTGTTCTGGTGCCTGACCTGTGAGAGAGGGTCCTGATCAGGAGGGGAAGGGGACCTGTGTCGGAGCAGCCACGGGTAGGGGGCAGTCTTGAGGTTCTCACCTGACCACACAGGTCATCACTTTGTGTGTGTGTGTGTTTTTTTTTGGTCTTCCCTGGTAGTTTTTAAACTTCTGGAACAAACAGGACACACTGGAGCTGGAGAGCCCATCGCTGACCTCCACCCCGGTATGCAGCCAGAAGGTGGTGGTCACCACGCCGCTGCACCGAGATAAGACGCCCCTGCATCAGAAGCACACCGCGTGAGTGCTGGCCTGCCCCTCCCCCGGCGGGGGCCAGTCTGGTGGGGGCCAGGGCCACCCTCGGAAAAACACCCGAGGCTCCGTTTCAAGAAAGCAGCCTCTTCTGGCCCCCACACCTCTTCCCGTTTGTCCGTGTAGTCTGGGGCTTTATCACTGTCTAACTCATTTTTTATTTTCTAATGTGCTGGCTTTCGAATCTCCAGAATGGACTGAGTCCCAATTGCCGTGAAAAACTTAATCTCTCCATGTTTTATAAGTGTCCAGCGCACATCCACTGGGTTTGAGTAGGCTTCCGTGAGGGACGAACCTGTCCCCGGTTCTCTGGGTCTCTCTGGTGTTCATTCAGGACCGAGGACTGTGTCCCCGCCTCCTGAGCTTACCAAGTGCCCTGCTTCACCTTCCGAGGCCCGTACAGGTTGCTTACCTGTGGGCTTCTACGGGCGGGCTTTCGCAGTAGTTTCTTTCAGTGTGTCATTGCGACTGAGTTCCAGGTAGAGAGCGTTTGCCTGACCATGCTTCTCCTTATTACATTTGCTGCAGGAGAGGTATTGCGATTTATCATTTCGCGAGAAAGTTAATGTGATTCAGGTATCAGTTTAGGAATTTTAGCCCTTAACAGTTGACCTAAAATTTCACATAGGTATGTTTCATATTAGGAACCATTTCAGCCATTATTTCTTCAAATGTTTTTTTGGGGGCCCTTGGACCCCAATCCTTTTCAGGGACTCCACATTTACAAATACGTTAGGCCACTTGAAGTCCCACAGCTTGGCCGTTATGTTTAGTTCTTTCTCTTTTTCCTCCCTCCGTTTCATTTCGGAGAGTTTCTATTGCTGTGTCTTCCTTCATGTGTACTCATCATTGCGTCTGCCATGTCTGATCTTCCAGGAATCCCATCCCAAGGCAGTTTTCATCTCAGTCATTGTATGTCCATCTCTAGGAGTTCAGCTGGATCTTTGTAAATAGGCTCCTTGTCTCTACTTTTCAAACATTAGGAAATACAGCTAAGGTAGCTGTGTGAACGCCCTCGTCTACGGGTTGTAGCGTGTTTATCGGTTCTGGGTCTGTTTCGGTTGGTGGCATTTTCCTCGTTCTGGGTCTTGCTTGGCTTGTTATTTCTGCTTCTTTGTGCGCCGGGTGATATGTGACTGGGTGCCAGATGTGAAGTCTCCTTCGTCGCGTGCCCTGTATTTATGTATTCCTCGCTCACTGTTTTAGAGCTTTTTCCGCGACACGGTTCGATTATTTAGACATAGTAGACATAGTTTGATCCTTTGGGGGTTTATGAGGTGGGGCCAGAGCAGTGGTTAGTTCAGGATCCCGTGCCCTCTACCCGCCGCCTTGTGAACGAGGAGGGTTTCCAGTCTGGTGGCAGCAGCGCTGGCCCCAGCCCCGTGTGAGTGTCGTGTTGTTTTCTCTAATCTTTCCAGATGCTTCTTCCCTGGTCCCAGGTGTGTCCCCTCGCATGTGTGCACAGATCAGTCCCCCTGCTGAATACTCGGACGCTCTGCAGAGCTCGTCTCAGGAGATGCACCTGCGTCCCCTCCCTGGGCCGTGCCCCCGAGTCTCTCGGTGCACTTGGCTCACCTCACTTGCCTCCCGGCTCTCAGGGGTCACTGTCCAGTGTCTTGAAACCCATCGTTTCATCTATTGTGTGTTTTGTTGTCGTTTTCAGGTGGGAGGGTAAATCTGGTCCCTGAGGTCCCATTTTGGCCGGAAGTGGAAGTCTGCTGCTTCATCTTTAAATACAGATTATCACAAAAGACTTTTTTTGATTTTCCCGTTTTCTCTTTCGAAAATTCTTTTCGACATTTGCAAGATTTCACAGGCAGCGGCAGTGAAATGGACTTAATTCTTGGACTTAATTCCAAATTTGCCCGGTTTCCTTGCCCGCTGACTCACATCCCCATTTCCCCCCCATAGAAGTTACGGCTCACAGGAAGGGGCAGTTCATTAACAAAACAAAGCAGTATGTGGTATTTCAGATGGCGAGCCACGGGGAGAATTGTACAGGCCGAGGGGGCACAGAGTAACGGGCAAGGGGTGTCTCGCTTAGGTAGGTCGGGGACGGCCCCTCAGAGAGGACGCGCTGTGGAGAATTCTGAGAAAGACCTCCAGGCAAAGTGAGCCACAAAGGCAAAGGGTCCAAGGTAGCAACATGGTGTTTTCTGTTTAAAGAACAAAGATGAGGCCACCTTGTAGAGTGAATTGGGTGTAGAGAAGAACAGGAAAGAGCCAGGTTGAGCTGTGCGACACCCGCATCCACCCCAAGACTTTACTGGTTCATAAGAGCAAACCTTCCCCTGTTTTAAAAGGCAGTTGTCTGGGCTTAGATGGCGTACTTTCCCACGTTCTTGTTTTCCTCGGTCACAAGGCGGGGGGCGGGGGAGGGTGTGAGGTCTGGGGGGCTGCCCGTCTCTTGTTTTTCAACAACAGGAGCTGGACATAGCGATCTGGAGGGAGCATAGTTATGACCGCAGGGTTTTCCTATTTTCTTACGGCGTTTATGATGTGGAGAGTCCCCACACGTATCCAGCTGTTGTTATTCCTTTGCAGGAAATCTTTTTTCTCCCTGGATCTTTGTGGGGTTTTTTGGTGGTTGTTTTGTCTGGTTTTGTTTTTAGTTATTCTTCAAATTTGCCGGGTTATATGCAGGTGTGCTATCTCTGTTAACTAACCGCCCCCCCCCCTAAACAAACCCCCCCCCCCCGCCGATTTTTATTTCAAAGTCCACACCAAACTTTGAGCTGAGCAAATGTTCTGTTATTTCTTTCATTCTTATTTCTCTGCCGTCTGCCCCCTTTCCACCTGCCTTAGGAATTTCTTCCGACACAGGCTCACCGGTCTGTCTCTTTTCATCTTCATATTCCTGTTTGTCATCTTAAGCTGTTCCCTGTGACCTCTGCGAGAACATCATCATATCGCCTTCTCGTTCGCCACTTGGTTTTCTGCCGTTTCCCATTTGCTGAGTCCTCGGGCTTCCAGAATCGCATGGTTTCATCATCTCCCAGGCATCTCGTGTGTTCTCCTCCCAAGTCTGCCTCCCTTGGCTTTCTAACATGCATGGATTCTCAGTTCTTGCTGACACCGTGACTCAGAGAGGTTCTAGAGTTTTCTCATGCTTGTTGCGAAAGCTCCACGTCCCACAGAGACGTCGGACCCATGAGCCGTGCAGTCCATCCCTTTGAGCCGTGGTTTGGACTGCTCCGTTTGACCAGCGCTGATCAGTCTTTGCTGATCCTTACAGACGGGTCTCCGTGTGTCCTGGGGGGGGGATGACAAGGATATGGGAGCAGATAGTGTGCATCTCTGTCTAATCGCTTGGTCCTGAGAAGGGAAGAAAAGAATGGTTTATACCTGTTCTCGCTCTTTATCTCCTCGTGGAATGACTGGCAGGCCAAAGGGAGTGACTGGAACTGCAGCCCAGGTAGCTGTGCCCAGGGATGGCCTTCTGCACCTGAGTTCTGACCACCTGGGGTGTTTCTGACATCCTCGGACCACCCCAGTAAAGCTTTGGGAGTCGGCTCTGGTGGTGCCTCCCGTTGACTAAAGTCACGCAGGCCTCGTGCCCGTGGAGTTTGGCACCTGTCGTCAGAGCCGAAGTTTGCCCACAGCCAGCGGGCCGGGCCCGACCTGCCGCCCCGGTGCCCGGGGTTTGAGGTGCTCCTTTCCCTTCCCCAGCATCACAGGCAGAAATGGGGCCACATCCGGTTAGTATTTCTGCTTGTGGACCAGACCCTCCCTAGGTTTCTTTCTGCTAAAGCTTTTCCCTCCTGGTTCTGTCCCCACCGTGACCATTTTGAGGAGACTTGGGAAGAGGGTAAGTTAAGCGCGTGCATTGGCCTCACCGCCTCACACCTGACGTCTGCCCTGCCTCTCCTTAATGACACCGCTGCCACTCTGTCTCTGGCGGGAGGTGCGGGAGGGACGCCATCTTCCCGGATCCCCGCCTTGCTCCCCCTCGCCGGTCCTAGTCCTTCCTCGTTTCATGGCAAGTCCTCGTAGGCCGACGACCAGCAGCATCCGCAGCTGTTCTCTCCAGAACCCCCTTAGACTCCTTCCTGTTCTTTCCCGTGTCCTCGGACGGCCCCTTCCTCTCAGTCCCCGATGAAGACCCTCGTGGGTGGGGAAGACCTGCGCCAGGGGTCCCCTTCCTGCTGCTGAGGCCAGAGGTCCAGGCAGCGGGAAGGTGGGAGGGCGTCTAGTGTCCGCCCCCAACCCCGTCACTGAGCCTCCTTCCCTGGCAGGTTTGTGACCCCAGATCAGAAGTACGCCATGGACAACACTCCCCACACACCGACCCCGTTCAAAAATGCGCTGGAGAAGTACGGACCACTAAAGCCCCTGGTACGTGGCGGGGCGGGCGGGCCTGCGCCGCGGGTTCTTCCTCCAGCCACAGAGCCTTCTCCCTTAGGGATCTGAGCAGATTCTCCCAGCAGCCCCGAGAAGCTGCAGGTATCCTAATTTTATGAATGGAGAAGCTGAGGCCAAGTTACTAGTCAACTCATCAGACAGTTCGTGAGCACCTGCAACGTGCCGGGCAGGCACAGGCTGGTGCTGGGGACACAGCGATGTCCTCAATAACTAAATACTACCATCGCATCACGAGAAACGGGCAGGTGTTGGCACGGAGAAGGACTTGCTCAGATGCTGTGGCTAAGCCTGGGAGAAATAGCTAATTGCTCCTCAAACTGAAGCCTTTTGCCTCCCTGCTGGTTCTTCACAAACATGGGAGAACCGCACGTGGGTGGGCTTGCGGTGGCCGGTGAGGAAGCACCTTGCCCCCAGCGGTGTGTGAACCGCCCTCCTCTCCCGACCCCTCCTAGCCAATGAGATGGTCGTGCTTTTCCACGAGAGCTGGCACCTTGGGCTTTCTGAGACAGACCCAGGTAGTTTAGAAACGAGTTGAAGGTTGGTGGCAGAGGAGCTCTGGACCTGTGGACAAATTCTGCAGTGTGGTACCCTCCCTTCTCTCGCATTGTGTGGGGTCCTTGTGTGAGAGGCTGGCAGCGGGGTCTCCCGCTTCTTGCGGTGGAGCTGATTGAGATAAACGGGCCCGGGCCAGGCACGAGTGGGCACTGCCCTGCCCTGTCCAAGGGGCGTTCGGCTCCGATGTCTGCACGCTCTCCAGACAAGTGTGACAGGGCCAATCTCACGCAAAGCTGACCTCGGCAACTGTAATGAAGGTACATGGGGGCTTTCAGAGTCACTTCCAGGTTGTCATGGTACCCGATGCCTTCTGTGGCTCCCCTTCCTCTGGCCTCTGTCGTTCGTGGCCAGAGGGGTCTCCTAGAACACTCAGGCCCGAGGAAGGAGCGTGGAACCGAGCATCCCCATTAGTGTGGGAGGAAGGGCTGAAGGAGTTCGGGCTTCGAGCATGTCCAGTTTTTAACTCCACAGCAGTGTGACCTCAGGCCAGGTTCTTGCTCTCTCAGCCTCCGTTTCTGTCCTGTGGAAGATGGTGGCTGTTGCATGGGTCGTGAGGCTTGCTGGGGTGACGTCGGGGGTGCTCCTGGCCCGTGGTGGCCCTGGTGCATTGAGGTCAGGGTCTGCTTGTCCGAGGTGGGACAGGTAATAGTTATGAATAATGGACGTGAGGCCGGTGGCTTTGCACTCCGTCCTGCATTGCCTGGTACAGCCAGGGTGCGGCTGGCTCTGCCCTGTTTTCTGTCTTCCTGGGAGCCTCACCTGACCCGCCCTGCCCCCAGCCCCAGACCCCGCACCTGGAGGAGGACTTGAAGGAGGTGCTGCGCTCCGAGGCCGGCATCGAGCTCATCATTGAAGATGAAGTGAGGCCTGAGAAGCAGAAGAGGAAGGCTGGGGTGAGTGGCCAGGGTGGGCAGGCTCCTTGCTGCCAGGCTGGGCAGTGTGGGAGGGGCCGTGGGGAGCTGGGGAGTGGATTTGGGCACAGCTGGTAAAAGTCAGGCCCCCGGGGAGTCAAGCTGCGGCCCCAGCCCTTGTTTCCCCCAGAGTGGTCATTCACGAAACCAACTGCAGGGAGGCCCTGGTGGCCGACCCTGCCCCGGCTTTGAACTATCCCTTAGCTATTCGGCACTGTGTTTGGGCCCTTCTGAAGTGGGCTCGGGCTGGGTGGGGTGGATAGGGCAGTGACAAAGACCCAGACATGGTCACTCCCTCTAGAGTTCAGTGGGCAGACACACTAGTGACTCTCAGTACACATGGCAATAAGGGAGCAGAAAGGGACACGGGATTGCAAGTGAAATCCTTCAGATGGAGCCGGCCAGGTGTCTGGGCTGCGTGAGCCAGGTGGGGGGAAGTCCGTGTAGATGAGGTAGGGAGCTGGCAGGGACAGTGGTCAGGGGCACCTGGGCAGTCGGGGAGAGGCTGGCCTGGGACAGCCCCGGCCCCCTGTGCCTTTACCTGTGTAGTTTCCCCATAGTAGGGGGACTCTGTGTCCCCTTCTTCTTTGTTCCCCCTTTTTTCCTGGATGCCCGGGTGGCAGGTGGGTGGGCAGTCAGGCTGGGAGGGACCCACTGAGCTCCCACCGGCTGTGTAGGTAGAGAACTTGACTTCAGGCCTTCCCGAGCCTCTCCTGTGTTGGACGGTGGTTCTGAGCTGTGGCAGCATCTGTTTGGGGCACACGGCTGGGATGGGCTCGGGGAGTCCCTGGTGTTGGATCCATCCCCTGACCTGCATATGGGAGGCACAGGGGTGGGGCTGGGGCATCCCTGTCACAGGTGCTGTTGGAGGCCCTGTGTCCCGTGGGGTTTACGGCTCCACGTGACTGTTGCAGGTGTGGTTTTAGGTGTGATTGGAAGGATTCTTTGCTGGGCCTGTTAAGAGAGTTTTGTTAGAGACTCGCTGGCTCTGCTTGGTCTATTTGGGGTTGAACAGCGGGTCTCTGGGTGGAGGTTGGTATTTGTATCCCAGCTCCTGGTTGCAGTATCTGGCTGGACAGTGTACCCTGGGCACAGAGTCTGCGATGGGGCCAAAGGCTCCTGGGCCCCTGGCCCCCCACACCCTCCCAGCACATCCTTGCCAGCCAGGCCTGGCTCAGAGGGGCCCCTGCAGTTGGCCCAGCTCTGACAGTGCTGGGGCCCCATGGGAGGCCCCTGCCCACCCTGCCCACCCTAACCGCCTCCTTCCTCCCCTCCCCCAGCTGCGGCGGAGTCCCATCAAGAAAGTCCGTAAGTCCCTGGCTCTTGACGTGGTGGATGAGGACGGGAAGCTGATGATGTCCACGCTGCCCAAGGCTCTGTCCGTGGTAAGGGGTCTGGGAAAGGCTGTCCCCAGCCCAGAACTGCAGAGGCTCTTCTGCCCCAGGGAGGAGGGTGGACTGTCCCTGGGCCTCTGCCTTTGGGACTCTCACTGCAGGGAGGACCTACAGGTGGAGCGGTCTGGTGGTTCTCGGACTGGGCTGCCCGGTTCCCAGCTCAGCAGGGGGACGCTGATCAGGAGGGCGGGGTTGGGCACCTGTCCCGGCTGCCATCAGAGTAGCTCTGCTCCTGGCTTCCCAGGAAGTTACAGTTGTATTTACTAGAACACGTTTGAAAACTGTGGATCTGGGTCCCTGGCACCTCCCCTTGCACCCTGCTCATGGGGGTAACCCCAAAGAGAGTCAGTGGCGTGTCTCAAGGCACAGCAGGTGGCTTGGGCACGTCAGCCCCCAGACGGGTACTGTTCAGCTTCCGGGCCGACCTCAGGAAGGCAGCTGTCGCCTGCACAGAGACTAAGTCCCCAGAGACCGTGCGGCAGTATTGATCCCTCGCAGCTGACACTGGGGCAAGCCTGTCTTGGCCTGGTGCTCAGTGGACCTCAACGAGAGGTGTGGTAGAGGTCGTGAGAGAAAAAGATTGCCTGAGCAGATCTTGCAAGTATGACTGCTCTGCACCCACAGCTCCTTGCAAATAAACCTTTACTCTGGTCAGCAACCCGCAGCAGGCTGGGACTTAGCACCCTCCAGCCAGACCTGGAGCTGGCATTGCATCGGGCACCTAAAATAATTACCATAAAGAAAAACATAGCAAGCGGTTAAGAGCACAGGATTTGGAGGGGGTGGACCTGGGTCGAGTGCTGGCGTCAGCCCCTGCTCTCTGAGCTCTCAGGGCTCCGAGCTTCAGGTTCCTGCCTATAATCAGAGCTCCGGGTCCAGCAGTCTGTCCGGACGGTAGAGGTCAAGCTGAGCAGGAAAACTGGACAGGCCTGGGGTGCTTTGCTCAGCTCCAGCACTGCTCATGGGCATTTCTGGTCTCAGGAGAAAAACAGCATCTTTGTCTCCCCCTAAGGCTGTTGGGGAGGAGCCAGCTTCCTGTGAAAGGACCCAGCATTATCTGGCGTTTACTAGGCGCAGGGCTCTGAAACAGGCCCTTCACAGATATTTTCTTACTTAGTCTTTAATCTTACTACTTCTTCCACCTGGAAGAGGAAACTAAAGCTTAGAGAAGGTAACGTGCTGCCCAAGATCTCAACAGCCAGGAGGAGGAGGAGGTGCTGTGGGGATGTGACTGTAGGATTTTTCCTTCCCGTTGAGAACTTGGGGCAAATTGGCGAGTCTCGACTTGTTTTGATTTCAGCAGGCACATGTCGCATCAAGCTCCTCCAGCCTCACCCTGCCGGGCATCAAAGAGGACAACAGCCTGCTCAACGAGGGCTTCCTGCAGGCCAAGCCCGAGAAGGTGGCGATGGCCCCGAAGCCCCGAAGCCACTTTCCAACCCCTGTCCCGGTGAGTGTTGGCCGCGAGTGTGACATCACTTGGAGACTTGCCCTGCCGTCCTTCTCACCTCAGGGCCTTTGCACAGGCTGACTGCCCGATCACCTTAGGTTTCTGATCTCAGCCCTGGTCCCACTTGCGTAATTAAGTCATTGTCTCTGTATTTGGTTGCTTAGCGCATGCCAGTCCTGGCTGCTCACTTGTCGGTGGCTGCGGCTCTTCCTCACTCACGTGGAGGCTGGTGCCGCGTGAGGGGTACGGCCATGTCTCCTGGTCCAGCCTCCTTGCTTTACTTCCGAGGAATCCCAGAGGCGGCAGGAGTGACTTCCCTAGGGCCACCGGGAGGGTGGAGAGAGCCCAGGAAGACGATGGCTTCCAGAGGGAGGGTTGTACAACTGCCCGCCAGGCTCCCCAGGGTTTGCTGGGAGCATGCTGCCCTTGCCTGAATGGCAACCCTCTTGCCTCCTCCCAGATGACCAGTGCTTGGAAGACAGTGGCCTGTGGGGGAACCAGGGACCAGCTCTTCATGCAGGAGAAAGCCCGGCAGCTCCTGGGCCGCTTGAAGCCCAGCCACACGTCTCGGACCCTCATCTTATCCTGAGGGGCTTGGCAGTCACGAGCACGTTCTCATGTTTACAGGGGGTTGGGGGACCGAGGCTGGTCTGTGCATTTGAGAATCACACTCAGGTGACCACCTGCAGGGAGCCTTCTGCCGCCAGCCCTCCCCAGGTTGCTCAGGGGGAGACGGCAGGGCCACCACTGTTCCTGTTTCTGCAGCTGTGGCTGCAGCAGTTCCTGGTGCTAACAAAGTCCCACCCTCAGGCCTGCCCAGTCCTCTTCCCAGGGCCTCAGGGAGCCCCGTGAGCGGGTCAGGCCTGGCCTCATCTCAGATTCCTGCCGGGGACAGGGCCTGTGGCCAGCGCGCTTCTTCCTTTACTATCCTTTGGTATATTTTCTTGGAATAAAACTGCCTTTCTCCTTGTGCTGCTCTGGACTCCGCCTTCCTCCTAGGCCTTGCTTATGGTTTCCTGGTGACTGTCCTTGGGGCCCCCAGGGATGTGAGGATTTGGGCCCTCATCCTGAGTGCAGCCTTGTCTACACAGCCCAGGCCTGGGGCTCTGAACCATTCCCTCTCCCCTCCCCCCGTCCCTAGGGGCCAAGTGCACTGGAGGCAGTTTTGTCTCTATCCAGTGGGTGCCTCAAAGCTGTGAGGCCTTTGGCTGTTGGGTGCGGGTGGGTGGATGGTACATCGGGCCTCGCTTGACCAACCTTGCCATGGATGGTTGTTCTGGCCTGTGATGAGCCCAGCCCCCATGTTAGTCTGGTAAACAAGAGGTGACCGGCAGCTGAGCACCTCCTGGCCACAGTGGCCCTGACTTCCCAAGGCAATGTAGTAGTTGCAGCCTGTGCTGCAGGCCTCCCTGCTCACTGCCCAGTGCGCAGACTGTGGCTGATACTGGGGAGTCACTGGGGATTGATGAGGGGCAAGTGCCAGGTCTGCGGTCTGGATTAGGGGTGATCTAGCAGTGACAGGGTAATGTGGTCATCCTGAGGACAGGTCTCACCACAGGACAGGCACTTACCTGGAGCAGACCCAGACCCTGCTTCACTGCCTCTGGTTCCCCAAGCAGACTTGGCGGTGGGTCCTCTTTCTTGGGGATGGTCACTTGGCATTTGGTGGCTCGCATGGCCCGGAGATGAAGGCTAGGGGGTTAGAGGCATAGAGACTATGGGAGAGTATTCCAGAAATGGTCCCATTAGTCATTGTTCTCTGCATGCACACCCTTGAGCGGGTCACATGATTTACTTTGCCTAATGGGAATGATAGAATTACCTTGTGAGGAAGGAGGAAGATTCCCAGCTGTCCCAGCTGATTCCAGGCGGATGAGTGAACTCGTCTTAAGCCGTCCAGCCTCAGCCAATCTAGCCCAGTCCAGAAGAATTGCCTAGGTGACCACAGACTCATGAGAAATAGTAAATCAGTATTGTTTTAAGCCACTAAGTTTTGTAGTGGTTTGTTATGCAGCAGAAGCTCATTGATGATGTAGGTGCTGCCTGCCACAGGTGACTAGTACATGCGGGTACTTGCATAGTCTAGGATAAATTGGTCAAGTGTCCTTGTTCTCAGTGAGGGAAGGGTAGGGAGGCAAGGGGAGGCCACAGCCAATGGCTCAAGCCTGGGTTGGGCCAGCACAAGGGGGAGGAGCGGGGCTGGCTTCTAACCTCGAACTGAGTGGTGTGAGAATGGCATCCTCAACTTGAAACCGGGGTGTTGGGAGCAGGCCAGGCCCCCTTGGTGAGTGGAGTAGGGGAGGTAAAGACATTCTGTGAAACTGTGGGAACAAATGTTTAGGGATAGCGCATTTATTTATAAAGTTTGAGATATGTAGTAAACATTTCTTTGCATTTTTATATCCTTTAATAAAGCAAATTTTTTCTAAGATGCTTTTAATATTTGTCTGTTTTTTATAGTTATGCAAGATTCTGCTTTGGGACATATACCCAGAAGTAGAATTGACGAATCATATGGTAATCCTGTTTTTTTAATTTTAGTTGTTTTCTTTCAATTAGGTTTTTGGTATTTTCAGGGAATGCTATCTACTGGGCTACTAAAGCCTTTGCAGTGATGGTGCAGCGCTCTGTTGCCACCTGGTGGTCATTGATGTGTTTGCAGCAGCAGGTAAAGGGGGCCATAACCGTTTCTTGAAGGTCTTGGAAAGTCCTTGCATTTTTCTGATTTCAAGCCCCTTGGTATCCTCCTCAAGCATGTGGCCATTGTTTGAGTACCACCACTGATGGGAAGAAGCGACTCTAATTAGTCGGCAGCCAGCTCCATTGTTGGACAGCAACTGTGATGAAAAAGATTCTGTATCCAGAGAAAAAAATCTCTCCCCCTTGCAATATCTAAAGCAAAAGGAATGACTGAAGGTGCATGCAAAGCTGGTTTGTGGGGGAATCGGGGTCCCAGTTCGGGAAGTTGATAGGTCAGGATTAACTTAAGAGTCTGACTGCCTAAATGAGCCATTTTCTCAGCAGCCCCCCGCATGAATCAATTCGTGTTCTCACTGTTTCCAGAGACCGAGACTCCGATTTAGTCATGATAGTGATTTAACCCCTTCTAAGATGGATTTTAGGTTCCCACCTTCCAGATGTGTTTGAAGTCATTAAAGATGAGTTTGGGTATGAGCTGCGAATCAAACTTTTCACTGATACAGAGCAGCCGGCTTGACGGGTCAGGATGAAGCCGTTGTGCTTGTGCGTTCACTAGGGCTGCACTGTCGGAGTTTAGGTTAAAGAAAGCGGAAGGGAGGTCTGCATGGAAGGGTGCAGAGCCTGTCTCAAATGCCCTCCAGAAAGGCATAGTCGGGAGGATGTCTGTCCCCTCTCTGAGTCCCTGCGCCCTGTCCATGGAGGGACCCAGGCCTGCGCACCCAGCAGGTGCTCAGTAAATGTCTCGTCCTGCCGTGAAGTGATGGGGCAGAGAGAAAATGCTGGGACCAGAGGGATGGGGAAGGCTTTGTCATCTTTTCGGGTTGATTTCTAGCTTAATTCTCCTGTGCGCAGAAAACAGTCTGTGTGGTTTCAAATCTGAAATATTTTGAGGATTGCTTTATGGTTGAGCGTATGATCAATTTTGTAAATGTTCCTCATGCATCTGAAAAGTAAGTACTCTGCAGGTTTTGGGGGCAGTGTCCCATTTTTTATTCATGCTAATCTCGTCCAAACACCCAGTATCTTGGTTTTTGGTTTTTTTTTTTTTTTTTTTTCTTTTTGTGGACCTATATTAACCAACCCCCAAATGACATCTGATAAGAATGTTGCTTTAAGCCACCGAATGCTGGGTGGCTTGCTACTCAGCCTTATTGTGGCAATAATTAGCAGATACAGAAGGCAGACTGCGTCCATTAAAAGCCCTGAGGAAAATGAACAATGCACCCTGAACTCAGCAGGGTGAAGGAAGAACTCATCAGTTTCAGAACTTTACTGGAATTGAGGGGAATCAAAAATTCTGGAATCATCTACGGCCATGCCACCCTGGAACATGCCCCATCCCGTCTGATCTCGGAAGCTAAGCAGGGTTGGGCCTGGTTAGTACTTGGATGGGAGACCACCTAAGAAGACCAGGTGCTGTAGGCGTAAAAAAAAAATCTGGACTCTAGAGCCACTGTGACTATGCCTTTGTCTTACCTGATCCCCCAGGACCTCTGGCAAGCTTTCCATGCCTCTCCTGCTAGCCGTGGGTGACTTTAGATAAGACAGACATGGATGTGAATCTCAGCTTGGCTATTGCTAGTCATGTCTCTTTCCTGCTGTGGACCTTGGAGTCCTCAGCGATGCCATGAGGAGAATTCGTAACCTTTCAGTGTTGTCAAAGGGATTGAAGAGAAGTCTGGCACACACTTGTGGGTCAAAATATGGGCTCTTACGATATTACAAAATGCTCTCATTCCTTTAATGCACAATAAACCCTGCAAAGGAGAATTTAGTGTGTGTGTTTCAGGTGAGTGCTCTGAGTGGAAGCTGTTAGACTACGGTCAAGTCAGGACTAGAGCTCGGTCTTGGACTTGAAGGCTGCCCTGTAATCATGTTTCATAGTTATCAGCCAGGGAAACAGTGCAGTAGAAAAAGCAGAAGCATTCACTGTAGGTTACAGTTTTAAAGACTTTCCGTGGAAGTTCAACACAATCTCAAGCAAACAGCTGGATGAATTTTTGCAAAGTGAACACACTCATGTGACTAGCACCCTGGAGACCCCCTCTGTAGCCCCAAGGGTATCAAGGGTAACCACCATTCCGACTTCAAACACCACAGTTTTGTTTGGCCAAGTTTTTTTTATTTTATTTTTTTTAATGTTGCGTAAATTGAATTTCATGTTATGTGAGATTTACCATGTTGATTTAGATAGTTACAGTTTGTTTATTTTCATGACCATATAGTATTCCATTGTGTGAGTTTCCCACAACTTACCCACTCTCCTGAGGGGCGTGGAGGGTTTCCAGATTGGATGTGATAGTGCTGTGATGAACAGCTTATTCTCATCCCTTGATGAACTCACATACACGTTTCTAGTTTATACATATCCAGGACTGGAATTGCTGGAGATAGGTCCAATTTAACTAGATCGCTTGCCACTTAGTGGTTTTGTGAACTGAAGCACATTATTTAGCTTCTCTAAGACTCACGTTTCATGTATGTATATTAGAAATAAAAATATTTGCTACTCAGTGTTGTAGCCAGGACATAATAAAATACTATCAACAAAGTACCTGGCCCTAATGTAGCCCCCCCGTCTTTCCTCCTCCTGCCATCCCAGAGCCCCAGTGTCCTAGGACACAGCTTTTCTGCTAGGCTCCCCCTCTGCCAGAATACTCAACATGAACTTGGAAAGCTTGCTGGCTGCCCAAGGCTGGTGGGGCTGCCTTTCCCTGGCCCATCTGGCAGCTCTCCTTTGTGATTCAGTCACTGGTGCCCAGCCCAGCGCTTGCTTGCTGTGGCGGTCACTCATCGCTAACAGGTGTTTTTATGATAGTCGCTGTGAGTGTGGCTAGTAGCAGATATTCTCAGGAGACAGGCCCATTAGAGGCAAGGAACGAGGACCAAGGAGAGGGAACAGCTGCCTGAGATCCAGCTGGAATGTAGAACAGATATTTCTCTCTTGCCTAGTCTTTCCCTCCCAGACCTCCAGGCCGGAGTTTTCCCTCAGCCCCTGTATTTCCTTACTCTTCTTGAAACAGGAGTCAGGACGTGAGTGTGACAGGAAGTCAGGAAGCTGCCTACAAGGGGCCCTGTCAAGACAGAGCTGACTTCTTTCATTAGGTAATGGCAGCCTGGAGCGTTGTGTTGAGAGGGATTCAGGAAAGAGTGCTGTGATCGATTAGTTATGTCTCATGTGCATGGCATGGGTGGTGTGGCACGCATTTCACATACTTACTGCCGCCTCTGGCTTAAAGATATTGGGTTAGTATTGATCAGAATGGATATATATTTGATTTAGAAAGATAAACAGACTATTTTTAAATAGGAGAGTTAAATTCTTTGACATTCATATACTTGGATTGATTTCTACCATTTAATTTTGTGTTTTCTCTGTACTATTCCTTTCCCCCTTTTCTTTGTTGAATTTATAAAGTTTTCTGTAATCTCATCTCTCTTCTTGCCTGGTTTGGAACATATAAAAATATTTCTCTTACTTTAGAGGCTATTTTAAAATTTCTAATATACATATTTATTATTCATTGTTTGTAGCCTTCTGAACAATGCCTTCCCTAGCCTATTTTTATCTAGCAGCTTTATCATTTTAAATACACATTGATTTTCTCAGTCGATTAAATTTGTTTACCTGTTTAATAAATTTACTTACTCATCGTTATTTCTCTCACTCCATTACATTATCTTTTGGCTAAATACCACCACTGTCATTACTACTACTGGTAGTTAGCATTAATTGAGGGCTTCCTATGTATTAGACACCATCCTAAATCCTAATAATCCTACATGCGTTAAGTCCTTTAATCTTCCATGCAATCACATGAGCTTATTATCCCTACTTTGTGAATGAGGAATAGAATCACAGAGGTTGGCAGCCAATACACTATATGACTTGAGAGTCCATCCATCGTGTCACCCTTCGCTCTGTTTAAAGTTTTTATTACAAAATTGTATTTACAGAAAAGTTGCAAAGATGGTACAAAGACTTTCCATATATCCTTTACTTGGCTTTTCCTAATTTTAATATCTTACAGGACCATGGTGCACTTAGTAAAATTAAGAAATTCACATTGGTATAATACTATTAACTACAGACTTTATTTGAATTTTACCAGTTTTTTTCCACTAATGTGTTTTTCTGTTCCAGGAACCAATCCAGGGTACCGTATTGCATTTAATATATACATATACATTATATATATAATTAATGTATGTGTATATTATGTATATATTAATATGTCTATGTGTATGTATGTATATTTTTATTATGGAAGATTTCAAATTTATATAAAAGTAGAGAGAATAATAAAATTTGTCTACCACTCAGCTTCAGGAATGATGAACTCATGACCAGTTTGTTTCATTCATACCCTAAAACCAAGTGACTTTTTCATTTTCCTTACTCTTCCTGAAGCAGGCGTCAGGATGTGAGTGTGAAAGGAAGTCAGGAAGCTGCCTACAAGGGGCCCTGTCAAGACAGAGCTGACTTCTTTCATTAGGTAACGGCCTAATGTTTTGCAGGTATATGGCCTGTAGTTTGCAGGTATATGGCCTGTAGTTTGCAGGTATATGCCATCCGCGTCACTCTTTCACTGCTTCCTACCTGGCAATTCTCTAGTCCACGCATTTTATTAATCACGAAGTTTTCTAAGGCCAACACCCAGAACCTTTTTCTTTCCAAGAAGAAATCTTTTATCCTTTGTAGAAACAGATGCAGGAGTCATGGGTGGCAAAGTTATGATTGATTTTTCAAAAGTTAGCATTTCAGGTTTCATCCTGAAAGAAACTTTCAAAAGACTTGTCTTTTGCTATTTTAAAAAATTTATATATTTTAATTTTTTGACCAGCTAACACATTCGTGTGTGTTCATATGTAAGAAGTACTAAAGGGCCTAGAGCAGAAAGTCCCTCTTCCCCGGCCTGCGGTCACCTAGGTGTCTTCCTTGGGGGCAGCCAGTATTCCTTTTGAGTGAATTGTCAGACTTTTCTGTAAGGGATCCGACAGCAGATGTAGGCTTTGTGGGCTGACCTCTGTTCTTGTGTATCCCTGAAGAGAAATTTTATGCAAATACAAGCACATACCTATACATGTCCTCTCCCACAATTCTACAAATATGGTGGTGTAATATATAGTGTGTTCAGGACTTGGCTTTTATCAGTTAAAACGGGGTGTGGCAAACTATGGCCCAGAGGCCAAATCCAGCCTGTCACCAGTTTCTGTAAATAGTTTTACTGGAAGCTGCATTCATGTCTATACGTTGTGTCTGCTTTCAAGCAGAGCTGAACAGTTGTGACAGAGACCATATGGTTAACAAAGCCTAAAATATTTACTCTCTGGCCCTTTAGAGAAAAAGTTTGCTGTCTCTGAGTTAAACAATATGTCTTAGCCTGTCCATATCAGTACAGAAAGCTTCCTCACTCTTTTTCACGGCAGCATAGTATTTCATTGTATGGCTGCACCATCATTCATTTCCCTCCACACCCCTAAAGGCCGTTTGGATCACTTCTGACCTTTGGCTGCTACAATTAATGCTGCAGTGAATAACCTTGTACTTACCTCACTTTCCACGGGTGTGAATAGAATTACAGGATGAATTCCTAGAAGTGGAAGTGCTCTATCCAAGCATAGTGCATTGATACTTTGGATAGCTCTTGTCCAATTGTGCCCCTCCCCCGCTCAGGAAGGTTTATCAGCTTAATTCTCACCAATGTTATAAAAGTACCTGTACTGCCCCATCTTTGCCTACAGAATATTCTTAAGCCTTTTGAGCTTTATTAATCTGCTCAGGTGAAAACAAAACAAAACAAAACACTACCCCCATGTGGTTTACTTTGCACGCCTTTTATTCTGGTGAGTTGCATCTCCTTCCACACATTTGACAGGCCTGTGGCTCCTTTCTGCTGCTTGTGGCTTACTCTCCTGGTCGGAGGATCTTCAGGGAGGTGGTTGGGGATCGGGGGTGGTCCTCTCTCTCTGACTCTCGTACGTCGCTTTCACAAACAAGCTTTTGGGGAATAAAAGTCTTAAGGACGAACATGGGGTGGCTGTTAGTGCCATCAACATTCCAGACATCAGGATTGGGGACCCAGGGGGACACTGGAGGGGCACTTCCATTCTTCTCTGGACTCGGAAGGCTGACTTTCAGAGGGCTCAAGATGTCTTCTTCCTCCACTGTGCTTCTGTTGACACAGGCCGCCTCGTGTTCCTCCAGCTTTTTGATGGGGACCACGTGGCAAGCGTTGTATTTGCAGCTGGCCATCTTTTTAGCTTTCTTGGGGTTCTTCTTCCTGCATGATGCCAGGTGGTATTGAAATCTGCTGAGTGGGATGCGGTGGTGAGGGTTGTAAGGGCAACTTTTTAAGGCTTCTGGCTCCATGGCCACTTGTTTTTGATGCAGAGTAGCTCACTGCCCAGAGTCAAAATGAAATGTCCCTCATGGAAAAGTCCTTTGGTGAAAAGGATGGAGTTGTCCTCTGCCCAGCGTTGACCCTTGGAACTCTGTAGGCGAAGATCTTAACTCTTGTTCCCTGTTCTCTGGGACCATGAGTAGTAGATTAGAAACAGGACAAAGAGCTGTCAAAAGCAGAGGACAGAGTTATCAAATGGCATGTGAGCCGGAAGAACTATATAAAGTGGATGCAAGAATCAAAAACCCACAGCAGCCCCGCAGGGAGGTGAAGGTATGTGCCAGCCCCCTAGATTCTGAGAGTTACACTGTGTGATGTCAAGGGGCAGCACGATGGTCACAATGGGCAGTGTGGATCATCAGGAAAAGCCTGCTTGTCTATCACTTTTGAGGGGAGGAGTGGCTTTGGGGAAAGATGCCATTCGAAATTGTCCATGGCATGTCTGTTGTCATTTCTCTGTCTTTAAGAGTTATATGTTTAATATAATTCCCGATATATTTGGGTTTAAGTCTACTACCTTATTTTGTGTTTTCTAACCTACTCTTTGGTTTATTTTTTTTCTCCTTCCTTTATTTTAAATTGACAACTTTTTAAAAAAAATCAATTTGTCCCACTATTTCGTAAGTTATACATTCTCTTATTATTTAGAGATTAATCTACAAATTAAAACATTAATAGATAACTTGCCAAGGTTTAAAGGTTTACTCTCTTTCTGTATAATACAGGGCTTCCCACCGCCCATTTACTCCCCTCCTGACTGATTCTACTGTTTCCATTATTTTCAGACTAATTTTTTAAAATCTCATGTGATAGCATTGCTATCGTCATTTTCCATTGTCAACGTTTCTTTACAGTTGTCCTCACATTTGCTCCGCTCTGCTTCTTGTATCTCAGATCTACCACGTTCGATCATGTTGTATCTTTTAGAATTTCCTCTTGACAAACTCTTGGTTTTGTTGGTCTGAGAATATCTTTATTTCACCCTTGTTCTTGATATAATTTCACTGGATATAGTTGTGTTATTTTCTTTCTGCACACTGAAGCAGAGTTGTTTCTTCCAACTTCCATTCTGTGGTTGAGAATTCAGAATCCCACTGTTACCTAACTTCTTTTAATGTTAATCTATTTCTTTTCGTACATCTGTTTTAAAGACTTTTTTTTTTCTTTAGCTTTGGTTTTCCCACAATGTCACTATGATTTTGAGTGGTGAATTTCTTTTGACGTGTTCTTTCTTTTTTTTAAAAAAAGTATTTGTTAGACTTCTTGAAGCTGTGAATTCGTGTCTTTCATTAGTTTTGCAAACCACTCAGCCATTGTCTCTTCAAATGTTGCTTCTTACCTTATTCTCTCACTTTCCCTGAAATAGATGTCACCTCCACTGACATTTCTGTGTCCAAGCGAGTCTTATGGCCAACTCAAGTTCAAGAGTCAAGGAGGCACAGCCCTATCACGTGTGCAATAGGAACTTTGTCAGGAGTCCTAAGAATGTCCCCCGTCTGTTCTTTTTGCCACCAGTATTTGTTTTCCTTTTCTCCACATATACAGTGTATTTCCTCCTTCTTGGGGGGGAAAAATGGATGTCTTAGCTCAGAGTGGAGGATAAACGGTTTGGGCAGAGTGCTCCCTGGGAACTTCTTGGGTTCTGGCAGGACCTCACTCTGGACTGGTGACAATTCTAGTGCCTCCGACCAAGCTGTCTCCTGTGTGCAATGGAAAGCCCGTGGAGTCATGCTCACCATACCCTCCAACCCCCACCCACCCCAAGAATATCTCCTGCTATACTTTGTCGAGAAGATGTCCTTGGTAAATTGTAATTTCCAAACGATTGTGTGACAGAGAGCCTGTTTCTCCAAGTCTGCAATGCAGTATCGAAGGGACTATGACATTGGTCCTACTGTGAGTTAACAGGCGGTGTAGCATCTGGTTCAGCATCTGCCCTTACGTCCCCTCTAAAGCCCTCACATGTTTGTTGACAATACTGACAACGCTTTTTCTATTCCAGACCCATTGCCTTTTTCATGCTCATGACCAGGGCTGGCCCAGGCTCAGTAATTCAGGCATTTGTGAGTCTGTGAATGGAGATAATGAAAGCACTTCACCCGTCATTAAAATCCACAAAGTAAGGAATAGAGCATTAGCCGTTGTAGGTTTCTTTGCTGCCAAGCACCCATTAGTGCAGCAGGCCGACATTTAGTCCATTATGAAGAGAGGGAAGGCTGGGCTTTTTAATGCTTCTAATGGACATTGCAAATGGCCCTCAAGCCAGCAGCCTTCTCCCAGAATCTGCTCTGAGCCTGGGACCTGATAGGTCACTCACCATGGCAACACTGGGGGAGAAAGGGATACAGAAAAACCTGTCTGGGCAGCACTCCTCAGGCCTGTCTGCATGTACGTGACCAATAATGCAAACAAGGTCAGGTCTGTTTTCTGCTTACGCCCCTCCCACATTGATAATCTTGAAGATAGAGAGGAGAAGGTCATAGAGTGTAAAGAAACAATGTTTTCTGAAAATAAAAGATTGTGTATACCGGCCAGCCAAGTCAGCAATGGTCATTACGGGTTTGGTTGGAGCTGTTGGAATATTAGAATCACTATGAGTCTGAATCCTTCAAGCTTGGAGACACTTCTTATAACATCAAGGCCAGCTTCTCTCTCAGTGCTCATGTCCCCCTCCAGAGCATCGCTGGAGGAGGGTCATACACTGACAGGGAGCTCACTACCTCCCCAGGAGGTTCGCTGTTAGGTTTCTTACATTGAACTGAGCTGACCTGAATCCTCATAGGCATTACCAGTTAGTCAGCTAACTGTGTCCTTGGCCTCGGACACATCTTCCAGGATATAAGCTTATTTCGAGCATGGCAAATTCATGCTGTGTGTACGTGGCACTAGGACGAGGGTGTCCACTCCATTTCTGGCTCCTTGTGTCTCCTTGCATGTCTAGCAGACAGGTGTGGACAGTCTAGATGGCCCCTCTGAGCACTTGAGCTCTTGCCCAGGGCTTCCCCACACTGCTCTTTATGCGCTGCTGGTTGTTCAAGGCTGCCCTGGCCTCAGAGCGTTTGGGCTCCTGCTAGCCCCTTGTATTTGAGGGCCTGATTTTGAAAACTCTCTGTCATGTTGTGCAACGCTTCTCAAACTGTAACATGCACACCAGTCACCTAGGCTCTTGTTAAGATGCCAGAGTGCACGATATTTTGGTTACCTTTGTCAAATTTTTGTGCCATGGCTGTGCTAGATTTGTAAAATGAATTGGAACACATTCTATCTTTTTCTGTTTTCTGGATGGTTTAAATAGCCCAGAAGCATTCTTTGAAACTTCTAAAGAACTTGTCTACTAAATTCTCTGATCCACACCTTTTTGGAAAATAGTTCTATATATGTTTTCAGGTTGGTTCTATGATTTTCTACTTGTCTTGGCAATTCCAATTTTTCTAGAAAAGCTTACTATTATGGAATGAATTGTGTCCCCCCAGATTCATATGTTGAAGCCCTAACCCCAATGAGACTGTATTTGGAGAGGCATTTAAGGAAGTAATTAGGGTTAAATGAAGTCATAAGAATGGGCCCCTCATCTAGAGGACAGGTGTCCTTATAAGAAGAGGAAGAGACAGAGATCTCTCTCCACAGGAGCACAGAGGAAAGGCCATGTAAGGACACAGAGAGAAGGCAGATGTCTGCAAGCCAGGAAGCGAGGTCCCACTAGAAAATAACCCTGCCAGCACCTTGATCTTGGACTTCCAGCCTCCAGATCTGTGAAGAAAAATGAGCCTTTATTGTTTCAGCCACCCATCTGTGGTGTTTTGTTATGGCAGCCCTGGCCTACCAATACACGGGCATTGTCCACTGAATGCTCCACATTAACTAGCACACCATAAGGATTTAACATTCTCTTTAATCTAAAAACTCTCCTCTGCATCTCGATTAACTTTAGCTTTCCTTTCCTTTTTCTAATATGTTTTAACTCTCCCTCTCCCTCTCCTCTCCCCTCTCCCCACTCCCCTCTCTCCCTCTCCCCTCTCCCTCCCTCTCCCTCTCTCTCTCCTCCCTCCCTCTCCTCCCTCCCTCTCCCTCTCTCTCTTTTGCTTCCTGCCCCCTCCCTTTATTAGGCTTTTACAAGTCTCGATATCTTACAGTAATTTACAAGTAGCCAATTCTTAGATTTATCATTCTACTGATTTTTCTGTTTTCTATTTCATTAATTTTTACCTTTACTTTTAACTTTATCCCTAGGTTTAGCTTGTTGCTTATTTTCTAGATTCTTTACTTGGACGCTTTATTCACTTCCAGTCTTCCTCATTTAGTGACAAAAACATTTAGAGCCACGGGGAGCACTTTGGTTACATTCCACGAGTTCTGTGATGTGGAGTTCCAATTGTCATTATGTTCTGAATGGCCTATAATTGCAGTTTTGTTCCCTTCTTTGACTTGGGTTATTTAGGAATAAATTTCTAAGTGATTTAATTTTTTAAATTTATTCTTTTGTGTTTAATTCCGGCTTTTATTGCATTGTGGTCAGATAGTGTAGCCTGAAAAGGATGGCTCAGTAGTAGTTCCTCAGAGGTTTTCTCTGTGGCCCAGAATGTCTTCAGTTTTAGTCATTTCTCTATAGACGCTGGAATTAACTGTCTTATCTGTTCATATGCATTTATTAAATGATGCTTATTTTTCCAAGCGGACATTCCTTGGAACAGGAGTCCTACAAGTTGCTCTAGGAACTGGCATACAGCTGCTCTGGGTGGCTTAAACAACAGAAGTTTACGTCCTCACACTTCTGGAAGCTGGAGTCCTTCCTACATGTCCCTCCTGGGGAGTCACGGTGACCACCAGCATGATCCAAGAAGTCTTAGGGTAAGCCCCTTCTTTTGGGCCTCTGTGCCCACCCTGTGAGTCCTGAGTCCCTGCTCTGCCCATTTTTACAGGAGGGGCTTCCATGGGGAATAGCTATGTGGTCTCCATAGGATCCTGGGCC